TCTTTCTTTCTTTCTTTCTTTCTTTCTTTCTTTCTTTCTTTCTTTCTTTCTTTCTGTTTCTTCCCTTCCTTATTTCTTCCTTTCTTCCTTTCTTTTCTTTCTTTCTCCTTCTCTTTTGTTGTGTGTGTGGTTTTACATTGCTGTTATCTTAATTAGTATTATTCATAATTTTTTAAAAATTTTATTTTCATTATTCACATTTTCATAAAGTTCATCAATTCACTGTTCCAGTTAGCAAAATTGTTGGAATGCTGTCAAAGAAGCTCCTTTATCTTTCTGACTAAATTCACTTTACCATTATATTGTCTTCTAATATTAACATAAATACTATTTTTGTCAAAACATGTCATTCTACCTATGGGTTGGGCTACAGTAGTGTATTTAGTGTATTTTTACATAATGTTAGAACACCAGTAAAGGGACACCTGCTATTGGAATTGTGAAATTATTTATATTGTTAGCAAGGCATTTTTTTCTTATATCTGATCTGTCTGTTTGGAATGGTATTGCTTATAAACAGTAATTATCAGCCTGGGATGGTTCCTCAATTGATTTATAATATTATTTATCTAGAGTCCTGGGGAAGTTTATACTTCAGCTGATGTTTGTGACAATGGAAGAAAGTAAACTATAGTCATTATCAGTAGAACCAGGTCAAAAAGTTATATGTGTTTGGTTACAGGTAAAAGCCCACTGACAGAATAGCTGGGGTAGAGAGAAGAGATAAAAATCAAAATGCAGTGGAAGGGATAGGACCAGGCTAAAGGATGATGTTGTAAATGGAAATAATGTAGCTGAGAAGATGTCATAAACCTATCAGATGTTTTCAGCACTGATACCCTAAAACATTTGCTGGTGTATAAAAGAGTGATTTGTGTTTCTTCCCCTGCAAACATACCATTCTAGGTGAACAGTTTTGTATCTTGGTAGAATATAATTCAATAACCAGTGAGAAGTACAGCTTTCATTGAAACTAGAAGTTGAAACATTTGAAACTCATCTTATTTTACTTCTCACAAGTGTTTTTTTAACTCAGAGCAATTGTCTTGGATATGGGAAGGGGAAATACCTTTATATATGTTTTCTGGTTTGTTCTAATCTATTTTTGCTCTTGCTTTTTATTCATAGGTTTCTGTGCTCGAGAGGCAGATATTTGACTTCCTTGGTTATCAGTGGGCACCCATCCTCGCAAATTTTATACACATTATTATAGTCATACTTGGCTTATTTGGAACCATCCAGTATAGACCTCGTTACATAACAGGAGTGAGTATTTTATTTTATTTACTTACTTTGATGTGCATGTGAAAAAAAAACAAACAGAAAAACACTCCACACTGCATCATTCTTAAAGCAAATAGAAATCTTATCTTGGTTTAATTTTTCTTCTGTAACATTTTTACATTTACTTACTGTCTCTAAAATTTAAAAGTCAATATGGTCATTAAGTGCATGACAATATGAACATGGAGTCATCTTAAGGAATTACAACATCTTCAATATTAGGGGAATTTAGAGCTATTCTAAATGTTAACCATAATTTTCCTGGATACATTGGACCTCCTCAATAGAGGCATGATTCATTTTAGTTACTCATTATTGTTATTAACTTATGTTGCTAGAGTGCTTATCTGTTATGTACATGCCTCCTAGAATTTATAATCCAACCTGAAAGTGAGATACGGTGTTATGGTAAGAAATAATGGACTGAGGGCTCCAGTATGAAAATAAGGATTTGGACCTTAATTAATATTTTTAATCCATTTCTTTCCTTATAAAGAGACTTAGTATGTCTGTACTCTCTGGCATAATGCAGTATTAATTAAATCCTCTTTTCATACTCTGGGTTTGTGGGGTTTTTGCCATTTGTACTTCTACAAAGAAAGAATAACAGTAACTCCAAAAACCATAATTCATAATACCTTTTGTTAGATTTTCATAACAATATTGCTGTTAAAATTTATTATGAATTCATGTAAAGCTTGTATACATTTGAGAGATAGGATTTAAAAAATTTTCCTATACATAACCATATTTTTGTGTCAGATGAAAACAAGGGGATCTTAAAATGATAGAGTGGTTTGTATTGGAAGCAAGCTTAAAGATCACCTGGTTTCAGCCTGGCAGGGGCACTTTTCAGTAGACCAGATTACTTTAAACTCCACTGCAACCTGTTCTTGAAGCCTTCTGGGAATGGGGAATCCACAACTTCTCTGGACAATGTGTTCTAGTGTCTCACCAGCCTCACAGTGAAGATTTCCTAATTTCTAATCTAAACCTACTCTCAGTTTACTCTTTCAGTTTAAAGCCTTAACCCCTTGTCTCTGTTAACTCCAGTGAATCTGTACCCTCTTCTGCAAAGTCTCTCTCTTAATTGTTCCCTCATATACTCAGAGTATAGAAAGATTTTGCTTTCACCCCTGTGCTACCATCCATATTGCATTATTGTTATGCTGGGAGAAATACATTAACATTTGTGTCTGTGTTTCTGTCTCTGTGATCTCCTGTATGCAGAAAATTTGCATCCACATGTGTGATGCCTTTATGCATACACACAATTTAATATATTCAAAAAAAAATTTACTGTCAACATTGACAAGTATTTTGAAAGCGTTAAATATTTAGTTTTCCTTCAAGTTACAACACTGGGAGACATTTGAACTGGAGTTTCCTTTAATTTCTGGTACTTTGACCAGTACAAGAGACTTGAAAATAAAAATGCAAAATCCAAGCATCCATTAAAGAAAAAGGGTTAAATGTTCCATCTGAAGACTATTCTGTGGCATAAAATGAAGCATGAGCATAAATTGGTTAGCTGAACTAAACAATAAATTATACTTAAATGGCCTGCTACTATGATAAGTGCATTGTGAATGGAGAAGAACACCAGCTTTATAAACTGAGTGCATTCACATGAGTTTCTGAATGATATGGTTGGTGCATACTGTTCTAACTAATTTTTGCACACATTTTTCTTAGAGCTCACCCCAACTGTGGAGCCCATCTGGCTTTGTGAGTTTGCCTCTCTGCATCATCTCATTGATTTTGATAGAACCAATATAAGATTGAGCTGTCTTGTTCAGAGTTTATAAAAAACACCTGAATGTGCCAGTTATCACAGACTGAATAAGAAAACAGTGATAAAGTGATCCTTTATTTAGTTGGATCAACAGAGGAGCTCTGTGGCCCAGAGTAAAAGAAAGACATGAACCTGTTAGAGCAGGTCCAGAGGAGGACCATGAAAACAGTCAATGAAGTAGAACATCTCTCCTCTGGAGGCAGGCTGCGAGAGTTGGAATTGTTCAGCCTGGAGAAGAGAAAGCTCTGGGCAAAGCTTATTGTAGCCTTTCAATATATAAAGGGGACTTAAAGAGAGAGAAGGTCTTTTCACCAGGGCCTGTAGTGACAGAAAAAGGAACAATAGATCTAAACTGAAAGAAGGCAGGGTTAGATTGAACATAAGGAAGAAAATATTTACAATGAGGATGGCAAGACACTGAAAGAGATCAGAGAATTTGTGTATGCCCCACCCTTGGAAGTGTTCAAGGCCATGTTGGATAGGTCTTTGAAAAATCTAATCTAGAGAAAAATATCCATGCTGATGGCAGGGGATATTTTTAAAAGCCCCTTCCAAGCTTATACCTGTCACATTAAGTCTGTGAGAAAAGGATTATTAGTAGTAAGTACATTACTTAACACATAATTGCTGATATAC